AAATTTTTGTTTAATTATGATATTGTTAGCTCATGATGAGGGCAGCCAGTTCCAGCCTGGCTCTGCCTCACCAATCACCTCACCCCCACCGAACAATAAATAACCATCATATAGGATTTAAAAAAAAAAAAAAACACTGTCCTTGTGTGCAATAATATCTCAGAGAGCCTCTGTCGGAATGGCCTCTGAATCAGAGTCACATTCTGTTCTTACTATGCCCATAACACCTGTTCTCTGCCCATGTACCACGCCTCAGATTCTCCTTGTCAACATTAGATGCCAAACATTTATTTGTGTGTGTCGTGTATATATCTCTCATTCTTTATATAAGAGATATGAAAAGGGAATAAGCTTAATTTTAAATATAAATTTTTAGTTCACTTTACTTTATACGCTTCTACTATTTGTAAATCAAGTGTTTCACATACACCAGAGAAAAAATCTTAAACTTTATGAACTTTCACTTAAAATTTAACAGTTTTCTAACTTTATCCTTATTTAATACTCCCTCGTCCTTCCTTATTATAAGAGACAGATAACCGAATTACGTTGTTAAAAAAACAGTTAAAATTAGTTAAGGACAATCAATGTGTAAAAAATATATTTTTTTCCAAAATGTCCTCATTAATAAGGAGAGAGAGCATGAGAGAGAACAATAGTAAATTATTAAAAGAAAGAGAAGTGGAAAGGAGAGAGAGTGTGAGTTTGGAGACAAAATAATATGAGTAAAATAGAAAATTAATACAAAAACAAAAAAAGTAACTTTTAAGTGTCTCTTATATATAAGAGAACATGCATAAAATCAAATGTCTCTTATAATAAGGAACAGAGGGAGTATACGTTATACTTTATATAACAAAAATCAACGTAATAATAAATGAAGGGTTAAATTATATATTTCATACAAAAAATTCTCTTAGTGCCTTATAAATAAACCCAAAAAAAATCTTCTTTTTCTGTTCTATAAATACTATCAAAGGAGTATTTCTTATTATTTTAGTTATAAATTAATATATAATTTAACGTTACACAAATGTGTTTTCGGAATATCATATATATTAACTAATTTATCTAATTTTTTTAATTTTATTTAATTTAAATTAATTAACTTTATATTAAAATTTAAAATGATATTTATTGCCGACTTCGATTCTTGTCATGTTTCTCTGTTAATCCCCCCACTAGGAAAAATTAAGGCAAATAATCACCATGATTAAAAGTGTAGCTAAAGTATAAAATGATTAGTTAAATTTAATATTGGGTAATAATTTTGACTTTGATCTCACTCATTGAAAAGTCCTCACATCAAAAGAAATCAATATGTTCTATAAAAAAAAAAAAGAAATCAATATGGATAAATAATTTCAAAAGCATAATAAAGGCCTAAAAAGTTAAGAAACACAGGTCAAGGTCCAACAACTTCTGAAGACATTTTATATAATTGAATGGGCTCTCACTTTATTAACCCGATAAATAAATTATGGGAATTAACGGTATTTATTTATTTTCTTAATTCTTAATTCATAATTTCTTGATTCTCAATGCCACTCGGGTGTCGTTTCACGTGGCACTGTGTCATTATTTCACGTCGTTTTGCTTTGGCCTCCCTGCACTTTACTTTGCTGGAGCCTCTGCCGAAGGAGAGAGCAACATGATGGAGAAGATTAGTGTGTGGACTGTCAACAAATAAAGAAAGCGCAGGACAGCGTGCAACGTTCGGAGCATCTAATCATTTTGTTCTTCACGAGGAAAAGCTTATAGCCATCAAGGAACCTCTTTTGGCTTTGCTTTTCCTTCAATCTTCGTGGGTTTTGCAGCAATCAGAGCTGAAATGCTTTAGGAAGAGAAAAGTAAGAAAATTCAAAGCTAGTTTTCGCAGCTGCTTCCAATGCCTTTTCAATCGCTTTCTTTGTGAATGCACCAGCAGCCATGGCTGACGATCTTTCTTCCTTCGCTAAGGTTAGTCTCACTCCACCATGTGCTGTACTGTTGTCCCTTTGCCTTTGAATCTTCCAAAATCTGAGGCAAAATATTCTGTATGATCATTAATTTTTTTTTTATTTCATGGGGTTCCATGTGACATTGTTCGATCTGGTTGTTTAATAAATTGGAACGGGTATGTACAAATTGAAGCTCCTTCTTGACCTGTGATTGGATGGTTTCCTGAGGTTTTACTGGCATCTGACTAGCCCAGTAACTCCATTGTTGTGCTAAATCAACTGAGTTGAAGCCCACATGTAGTTGTTTATATTTTGGTTGTAAACTGAATAAAATATTGTATTTTATGATTCCAGGACATTTTTCTCTTAAAGACTTTCAAGAAGTCAACAATTGCATGGAGGATGGTCGTATTGGTCTTGGCAATGATCTGTGGGGTGTATATATGTTCAATTTGTCTAAAGCAGGCTGGTGTTCAAACCGAGGCTGGAATTTTACATATCCAAACGGAAAGGGCATGCCCGGAACCTATCATTGAACCTTGGGAAATCCCTTACGTGCACTACCCAAAACCCAAAACTTATAGCAGGTAAATTACTGCTAAGGAATTGGATTTAGTTCCTGAATCTGCTTGGATCTTACGTACATTGCTTATTTGGTGTGCCGTTGTTAGGGCTGAATGTGCTTGCAATCCTGTCCGGAACTTTGCCATTTTGTCAATGCAGAGATCTGGGAGTGGATGGTTTGAGACTTTTCTTAACAGCCATGTTAATATAAGCTCAAATGGAGAGATTTTCTCTGTTAAAGTGAGAAGAAGTAATATCTCAACAATTGTGGAAACTCTGGACAAAGTTTATAATCTAGATTGGTTCAGCAGTGCTTCCAAAAACGAGTGCACAGCTGCAGTTGGCTTGAAGTGGATGCTTAATCAGGTATTGCTTGTTTTATTTGTGTATGTCCTTTGGTGTTATTAATATTTGGTTTCATTCACAATCATCTTTGCTATACTTTTTTTTCTCCTGGCGTATGAATGCTGACTATCATCTTGACGGGGGTGGTCTTCCTAAACTGGTATGCCGTTAGAAGGTCTTTATGTAAAAGTAATGAAGTACGGATTGCTTGGCAGTCAGTACTCAGTATCACATGAAAGTGATGAATTATGGTACTTTGTAAAATTTGTAATGGATGTAAACATGCTTCATATTTGCTTTCATTCAGTAAGTGCTGGAGGAATCGTCTAAGATGGTGCAATGTTTTTGTTACGCACCGTCATTGACTATATCTCAAGAAAGAAGTGTTGTATCTTCAGTGAAAATCTGAGAGGGAAGCTAAATCCTTTTAAGTATTCTGGTAATGAATTAAAATAAAGTTAAAGATTCTGACCTTCCAAAGCGGATGGATACGTGGGGCTTTAGAATGCAACCTGTGATTTTCTGCAAGAAGAATCAAACAAATTCTCTCACACACATCATAGTAGTGATGGATAATAGGAAAAGAACTGGGGTGCAACTTAGCAGTTGTACTGTTGACATTGGATGCTGAACAGTGAGCTATTCATGGGAGGGTAAGAGTATAGACATGGCTTGGGTCTTGAGCTCCTTAGTTGAGCTTGTAGAACAAGGCGCAACTTAGGTATTGTAGTGTCCAATTTTGAAGGCTTTGAAGCATCATTTCACTTGGTGTGATTTTGGAATTAACCACGAGTGCAGCTAGGATTCTTGCTGGTTCAATTTTGGAGATGTAATTTGGTCAAACATTATGTGTAACAGGACAAACAAATGACCACAAACGGAATGGGACAGAAAATGAAAAATTGAAAGTAGACAGGTCTGTGTAAGTTTTGAAAATAAATTTGAAGTGGAGGTTCTCCTAGTACATAATTCTGAAATTCAAGACAAAGACACCAAGACTCTACATCTACATATATAAACGAAAACTGACTCATGAACTGATCCTAAATGTGGCAGAAAGGTAGCACAGGCACTGATAACTTCCTAAGCACAGCACTAACACGACACTGACATAATGTGCTCAAACATGCCAAAACGTGAAAGGAACGCTCAAACAGAACCATCAATAACTTCAAGTAACTTCTGGCCTCCTTTGTCGTGTTCTGTCCTCATCAACCATATCAGCACGGTTGTGCCTTCTCATATAGGTTCTCAAGGGATGAGTTGGCAGTCATCTGTCAAATATTCAAAGAAAATTCGTATGTTTTACTCATCATATTGTGGTAAAGGTTGACCAAAATGTGAGGCTGTTCATTTATGCAGTAAAATACTGTAACATAACATGGGTGGGAAGGGTAGCAGGGGGTAGAAACTGAGAAGTATGGAGACTACGGTTTTCTGATATCTTTTCTCAGTCCGGACATAAGTGGGAAAAGTAGTAAAGATAATTGTAAATGATGTTAGAACTATTCTGAAAGAGGTGGCAAACAAACATTTATTTTTGATGAAGGTTAGGATTTTTTTTATATATTCCATTGAATCTTACAACGAAGAAAATGAATGCCAAATGATTCAAATCCTCAGAGTCAGATAGAGGGTTAACATGAAAGTTGACTCTCTATGGCAGATCTAGTTGCACATGGACACTTTATATTTCCTTGTCTAATAGCGTCAGTCTCTGTATCCATACTTTTGTCTGAGCTCGGAAGAAAGCTGAAGAGTGCAAAGTATTAGAAATTTTAAGTTTTTTTCCTGCAAAGTTGGTTGATGAAGAAAGCTCAATATTTGAATAGGCAAAACTAGATGTCCTCTGCTTCGGTTAATTCATTTTAGTGAAAAAAATGATCTTATTCTGTTCTCATTTTTTCATTTGAGGCTTTTTATTCAATTTAACATTGATGCGCTTTTTCTTTTTCATTTTGCTTTCATTTCATGTTATTTTAAGTCAGATCTTAATTTTACATCAGTTGACCCTTGTCCTGCCCATATTTGTTTTTGTGTTCACTGAAAAGATGATATAGTTCAAATGCCTGATATGCTATTTTTAACTTCTGCTCCGTGCATACTTCATTGGAGAGTGTAATGAATTTGGGATATCATACTTTTGTAATCTTCACAGGGATTGATGCAGCATCATGAACAGATAGTGCATTACTTCAGAACACACGGTGTTTCAGTCATATTTCTTTTCCGAAGGAATCTTCTACGTCGAATGGTTTCTGTACTTGCAAATCAATATGATAGGGATGCTAAGTTGTTAAATGGGACTCACAAGTCTCACGTTCATTCGCCCCATGAGGTCTCTCTCTCCTCCCCGTGGATGCTTATCTTGATATATTTTCTTGTGTGCTTCATATGTGAAGTTGAATATCTGAGGTTGTGCATGTTGACAAAGGTCTTCTTTAGACGCAACTAAAGTCAGTTGTGTGTTTTCCTACCCAAAATATTTGTTCTGTCATGTTGTCGATTTCTGACAGTGGTTTACAGGCAGAGATACTTGCGCAATACAAGCCCACAATCAATACGACATTGCTGATATCCAATCTGAACCAAGTGAATGGAACCGCCACTAAGGCTTTGGAATATTTCAAGAGCACCAGGCACATTATCATGTACTATGAAGATGTTGTCAAAAACAACACTGTAAGTCGTACTACATATGATGCGAAAAAAGATCAAACCAACTAATAACTAAAACAACTCCTTTGAGTTCATCTTCTTTTGTATACTTAGACGGATTAGTATTATCAATTCATGATTTTTTTAACTACCCTATTAACCATTAATATTCTTTCTTTCTGGTTTCAGAAATTAACGGATGTTCAAGATTTTCTCAAAGTCCCTCGAAGAGATTTGACGAGCCGTCAGGTGAAGATACATAAAGGACCAATATCAGGTCAAGTTGAAAATTGGAACGATGTGAGGAATACACTCACTGGGACACCATACGAGACCTTCCTTCATGCAGATTATAGCAAGTAAGCTTCCTCCATCCAAGAATACAGCAAGGTGCTAGGAATGTACATAGCTCATCTGGTTCTGTTTGCCTAATTGCCTTCATCTCTGAAACTTTAGTCACAAGTTGCTCCAGGAGCCAACAGGATGGATAATCGCCCTGTTCGAAATTTTGGCCAAGGCTCTTTCAATTTTTTGTTGTTGCCAGTTTCAATCCCATTCCGCTCCCCTAATCCAATTTGATTCATTCTTTATAGCCCCTCTCTGTCTATCTTTTAGTTTTGATAGTTGACACTAGCAGTTGAGCTGTCAAGATAAGTTGTTATTTAAATTTGCAGAATTTCTGTAAAGTCAGTTTTTTCCTTAATGAGTACATAGATGTTGAAGAAACAACTCTAAGTGAATATACAAATAGGAGAAACATGAACAGAGGACATTAAATACTAGGTAAGGGAGATTATGTGGTTGCGTTTCTGTATATTTTCGTGAAGGCAAGCTCATCGAGCAAACTTCTGAAATTTTTTGAGAGTTTAGTACGAGTTCTTTAATGTGGGAGATTTTTGGGAACATATTTCATGACACAATAAACTCGTAGGTGTGAGTGTGTGTGTGATGTCTAGTGGGCCTCTTTTGCTACATGTGTATTTCTCTTTTTATTAAAGCCAACATAGAAGTTTTGTTCTTGGCCAAATAAGTATTACCTCAAGTTTTAATTATAAGATCTCGTTTATAGTCTGCAATCACGGTTTTATAAATAGAACCGAAGGTAGTATATATGAGAAGATGGAAAGAAAGAAAGAAGTGTGGAATGTTCATGTAATTCTGGTTAAATAGGAAGCTTCATCTCATATGGCACTTGATGAAAAGGGACTCAATCTTCCCAGAATAAACATCCGAGTCCCCGTTTTATCTTTTGGATGGTGTTATGAAGAAAGTCAAAATTGACACGTGAGGGAAGAAAAGACAACTACTACAATTCAATTGTTCCAACGTTGACCACAATATGCATGCATTTGGTGGCTTCATTATTGTGATAACCACCGCCTTGGCGGTGTAAAATGAGATCCAGTTGAGTAATTTGAGAAGATTATGAAAGTTACTGAATTATTTAATATCTAATTATAACATATATTATATAATTTTTCTAACATAGTTATGTGTATTATTAGATTGTATATCAATTTATAAATGAGACAAATTTTTAATCTATTTAAATTATTCAACTATTTTTTATATCAAACATAGTTGGTAGTATTATGATAAAAATCTAAAAGCCATTCTTGTCTTCACATTACACCATGCTTTGCATATGCCCATTTCTATTCAACGTTCCCTAACATTTGACTTTGACCTCATCTGCTTTTTCATTCCCTTGTTCAAAGTTCACCACAAGATTAATTAAATTTAATACCGTGAATTAGATTCTAAATTAAATATTTAAACAAGGGGAAAATAAATTTGGTTTGTTTAATGCCATATAGGATACAAAGAGACATGGATTATTAAACATGCCTTAAAGATCATAATTAATTACCTTGATGCTTCCACAGATGATATAGTAAACAACGTACTTAACCTATCCAAAATTAGTTGCCGTAAATTGAAGATTTATTATTAATTATTGCAAAAGTAATGCCCAATTAAGTTCATGCATTAGACTGGATATCCTCCAAGAAAAAACAAGCAGAAACAGAGATAAAGATGAGATTATTCACTTGTTATTATCACTTACAACGAACTTCGCTCTTTAATTATTTTTATTAATCTCTTCATTTGCTCTCTTTTAGACATTCGAAGAGGATCTCTGAGTTTGTTCATGCATGCATCGTTAATTCTTAATGTTTGTTTATTAATTAGGGTCACTTACATAACAACATCTAGACTTTAGGCTTTTCTGCCAGTTCGTTATGATTTACTATGGCTTTATTTTTATTTTTATTTTGGGTAAGAGACAGTTCTAAATATAAAACGTTAATTTGTTTTATCATTTAAACTTATAATTTTTTTAAAATTATTCTTACTGATTATATATATTAATGAGCTCTAATTAAGAGGTAAATCTAATTCACATGGTTAACCAATTTTTTTTAATATCTATAAATTAGTTATTTAATTTTTATATATGTTCCGAGTATTTGTTCTTTTATGAGCAGCTATCAAAAGAATAGTTACTTATCTGCCCAAATTATATATTTTTTAATTTTTAAAATCCGAAAATTATGAGTTTAGATTAAACTTTAAAGAGAGTATGATAATTTAAAAGGAAAAAAAAGCTAATATACTTATCCTCATATACTTAGGTGCTGATCAGATCAAGATATATAAATTCTTTAGAAAAAAAATCTCGTTACTAATATCATCATACCTTTAAGATCCGCTTACATTAATTTGATTGGATAAAAATAAAAGAATAATATTTTAGGAAATTATGAAGAATAAAAAATTAATAACAGTGGAGATAACGGGAGGATAATAACGGAAGCGGTGGGGAAGCACCCAGAAACGCCGGAGAGCCGTCGATTCCTTGAGGTGGGTCCCACACAGAGGGCCACGTGAAAAGAGACGGCAAGGCGACGTTATAACCGAGGCGTAACCGAGCGAGATCCAACCTGTAATACAGGAATACTAGCGTGTGCGCCCCTCACAGACCCAGACCCAAACCCAAACCCAAACCCAAGCAACACACAATCGCCCCTCCCCCCTCCTCTCTCTTCCTTCTCTCTCATCTCGCGGGTAGCAACTTCCATTGTCGGAGACGGGAAGGTGAAGAGAGGGAGACAGAGACGAAGAGTTACGGACACAGAAAGCAACTAAGGAGACGCAAAAGTTGAACCTTATGGCTCAGCCAACTTCCGACGCCGCCGATCTGAATCACCAGCCGCAGCAGCAGCCGCAGCAGTGGACGCAGCCGCATCAGTATCCCCAACAATGGATGAGCATGCAGTATCCAGCTTCGGCTATGGCGATGATGCAGCACCAGATGATGATGTATCCGCCGCATTATATCCCTTACGTTCACCAATATTATCAGCCGCCATACCACCACCCCCACTTGAAACAGCCGCCGCCACAGCAGCACCACCACCAGCAAGGTTCCAACGATGAGATCAGGACGATCTGGCTCGGTGACCTGCATCATTGGATGGACGAGAACTACCTAAATAGCTGCTTTGCTCACACAGGCGAGGTGTCGCCACCTCTCCCTCTCTTGCTCTATTTTTCGTCCCTTGGCCAACCTCTCCCCCTTGCTCTATATGTCGCCTTTTACGCTAATTATATGTTATGCTTCATTGCAATTTATGGAAGACTGGGTTTGAATACAATTAATTGGCTCTATGTTAAATATTCTTAGAAGTTAGAAGGCATATCTTAACCGTTTGTAACTTAGAGAAAGGAAGGAATACGACTAGAGTGGTATCTTCATGTGCTTGCTTGTTTATAATATTATGTTTCATAAAAATTTGATTTTGTAACTAAGGAAACAAACCTTTCCAGATAATTTAAATATTTCAGTCTGTAGCCATGAGTTTTGACATGTGGTACGGGATAGTTTTCTATCATTGTGAAACCCATTGGTTTCTCTACTGTATTAAAAACAATCAATCATGTTTAAACTGTGAACTGAGCTTTCTAATGAGTTCACTGGTTCTTTGTTTAGATACCGCACTGTACTTTTTCTTATTGGACTCTCATAGTGAGTCATACATTACTTAAAATGACCTTCCCTTTCTATCTCTGTCGTATAACGAGAAATGCATTAATTGACCTGGCTCTTAGCCCTATCATCAGCAATCATCTTGTGAGCTTACCTCAAGTTTAGTTCATTGAAAACTTAACTTCTGGCTTGGGCTTTCTTCACAACGTAAATGAACGGGCTGATGATTAATGTATGCATCGCAGGGTGAATCAACTTTTGAATTCACGAGCATTAGACAATCCATTCTTGAGCATGTCTTTTGACCTTAGTAAGCTTGAGCTCAAGTGATGCATACGTGAATCAAGCCTGGTGAGACTTGGCACCCCTATCATTTTAATTGATCACACCCCATTTTGTTGTTGCTACCCTAGGAAGACACTACTGACTGCATTCAAGCAGACCTCAGTCTTGTTGATATTATGTATGACAACTTTAGGAATATTATCCCAAGTTTTTGGATGGAATTGTTATCGGTTTATTGGACCTGTTTGTATAGTTAAGATCTATTCATTTTTCAACTGTGGAAGATGGGCGGGCTATCTGCTCTGACGCTCATTGAGTTACTCTTACCTTTTTAGTAAAAATGTTGACGTGGGTTTATTAGGAAGATACGCTAGTTGGTTCATGATGAGACTTTGCTAAATGTTTTTCCCTAACATGCCTCTTTTGGTTTAGATTTATGAGTCCGTGACACTATCAAGTGCTAAGCTAACATTGTGTAAGAATTTTCAACTATTGATCCTAGTGTTCTGTTTGGCTTTCAAAATGCTTCTGTGCAGTTAACGTAGTTCTGTTTTCTGTTGATTTGAATCTGAGATTAATGTGTTTCAACAGCTGTAATTATGCAAAGCTTGTGTGTTTACAGGTATATTCAGTGAAGGTTATACGCAACAAGCAAACTGGTCAGTCTGAGGGATATGGATTTGTTGAGTTTTGTACGCGGGTAACAGCTGAGAAAGTTTTACAGAACTACAATGGTACTATGATGCCGAATACAGATCAGCTGTTTCGCCTAAATTGGGCTGCTTTCAGTTCGGGTGATAGGCGATCTGATGCTAGTTCAGATTACTCTATATTTGTTGGGGACTTGGCTGTAGATGTTACTGATGCTATGCTACAGGAAACCTTTGCAAGCAGATATTCATCTGTTAAGGGAGCAAAAGTTGTTATTGATTCGAGCACTGGCCGGTCAAAAGGTTATGGTTTTGTTAGGTTTGCTGATGAAAATGAGAGATCCAGGGCCCTGACTGAAATGAATGGTCAATATTGTTCAAGTAGGCCAATGCGAATAAGTATTGCAACTCCCAAGAAATCATTCGGACATCAACAACATTACTCTTCACAAGGTTTGTAATGATGCACTTATTGTAAATGGACTGAACTATACTCTGTTAAGTATTTTTATTTCTGTAGTGCAACCGATATTAATGCACTTCACTCCTGCATTTGTAATGATATCCTCCTTTATAGGAATTAGAATTCTTATGAATTGATGTCATGTGGTTCTTATGTATGCTGTAATTCTAACAAGTAAATTCTATTTTACCGCCTTTCTAGGTATCTCTATTTTTGCTTTTTATCCTTTCTAAACTTTTTCATCTTAATTTTGCTGGTATTGTGCTTATTCTTCACTAAGCTAATCAAATACTAATGTATTTGCTTCATCTTCTAATGCTAGGAGTTATTGTGACTCAAATATTTTTAATTATCGACTATTTAA